GCATCGGTCGAATATGCAATTGAGCCATGTTTGTATATTCGTCAGGTAACAAAAAACGAAAAATAACATTCTTCTTACTCAGTTCGGAATCAGTTTCATCAAGATGTGGAAGAACATACGTGATCATATCATCACAATCTTCTGATGAGAAGGTCATTTTCTTGAGAAGGTAGTTGAGTACACGTGCAAAATCACTACGTGGAACACACAGAGCATGGTCGAGAGAGAAAGCTGATAAATGATCGGTCGTTGCCTCCCAAAAGAGCATACGATACTCGTGTTCATCATCAATCAAAGGATAACGACGGGCTATAACATAAAAGTTTAAATTATACATCTAGGGATATGTAAGACAGCTCACTCATATTGATCTCTTGTTCTTTTTGTTTGATTATTAATTGTCCATTTGGATGAACTTGAATATTATTCCATTCGACAAATGAAACTCCATCAGTATGGGCTAGTTCTGGATAGACACTCGAAAAATTCCAAGCACTATTGAGATGTATTTGAACATTGACATTTGAAATCGATTGCCCATTGATAGATCGAAGACGAATAACAGGTTTTCCGAATGTCTTATTGCGCCGAATAGTAATTTTGGCATTGCTAGGAAGATTATAACTTCCAAGAACCCAATTATCTTGCCAAAGTGAGCCGCCATCATACATAAGAAAATGTTCGTCGGCGGGATAACCAGTCAAATAATGGAGACGTTTTTTAATTGTTTTTATTGTGTCATTCAATGATACAGATACTTCTCTTTCGCCAGTTCCCCAATCAACCACAAGTTTAGTGTCTTCTTGATTCAATGCCTGTCCTGGCATGCAGTTACCCATATCTGAAACTTTCAATAGATTCTATCAGAAGGAGTGAAATATTAAATAGGACTTCATATGAAAAAGACTTTATCAAATACTAGAAATTCGAAGAACACGTCTCCCGATTGATGAAATGAAGAATAATATCGTATTTTATACGAAACTGTTCTCATGATTTATGCGAAAGAGAAATGCATGCAGGCAGTATTGAAATCTCATCACAGTTATATAGAGCGAATTTGCATATACTCAAAAATGGTAGATCTATTTAGAAAATATTTCTTTGATTTGAAATATGATTGATTAGTCACGCTAAAATGTTCTTTCTTACTTACGATCAATGGCAACAATAATTGTAATGAACTATCCTGTGAAATTTACAATTGAACTGATAAATATTTTTCTGAAGTGTTCTAATCATCTTTGTGCCACAAAATTAAAGGAAAGAGTTTGGCAGTGTGATGGATCAGCAAACTCGTGAATATAGAAGTACTACCTAGAATAATTATTTTTTGAATGTATAACAAAAATTATGTTTCAATGCTTATCAAATCGCAACACAGAAAGTAATGTTTTGCGAAGCACGCACGTCCATCTCGCTTTGTATATATATCACACATTCTCAACTCCTGATTTTAAATGAGAAAGACTTCACGTGGTTAGTTTGTTTCTGCCTTTGCGTTCTGTTGGTTTTTTTGCTTCTCTTCATTATATTGACGATCATGACGTAAGGGAATAGTGACTTTCTCCATGTGTCATGCATGCCGCTTGTGCAACGAAATCATGTGCCTAGAAATAATCACATTTGCTTACTCGGTATTAATTTTTCTGTTCGTCTATTCGGTCTATCGTTTTGTTTCTTTTTACTTGTTTGAATGTTCAGGATATAGATGTAAGTAGATGGCAGAATAACTAAAATTCTAACCCACATTTACATACCAGTTATTAGAAAAACACGTTTTGTTACGACTCAGCTGTTGTGCTGATTCATTAAGCTGATTAGAATGAGGTGTGGATGGGTGAGAATGAAAGAAATACGAACACCTACATCCACGTCCATGCCAACAAAACAATTTGACTGTAGTCACGTTTCTTTTTCTCACTTACATCCACACGCCAATGACGTTACCGAGTACGAAAGCAATTAAAATTGACAGTCACTCTTTTAATTGCAATGTTTTTGCTCATGAGTATGGCATGAATATGTATACTGTTGGCATCGTATGAATTTTTCCGTGAACAGTCACCTGTGCATCAGAAAAACAATTTGATCGGAAAACTATAATTAACAGATTTAATTTTTGTGCTATCGTACTTTAAGCTTCAATATAGAATAAGAGGGTGAGAGTGTGAGTGTTGCTCTCTGCTTATACCCACACCAACACCCATAAACCCCCCCCCCCCCCTCCCCACACACCCAAAAGAAAACAATAATAAAATAAAATAGTTTCTACTCACTCAACACGGACTTCTTTTTGTAATAGAATTTAAGAGGCAATATAATTAGAATAGAGCAAGCACAATCATGATACAAAAACAACCAACTAAAAACCTTCATCAAAATCAAATTATGAAATGAAAAAAAATCATAAAAAATATAATAAAAAAATTAAAAATTAATTAAATAAAAGTTAATTCAACAAAAGTAATAAAAATAAAAGTTTTGTGCTCATTGTTGACAGCAACCTTACCGTAATTGAAGTGAAACTAAAATAGAATGAAATAAAATACGATGAACATCACTTCAACCATGTATATACAATGATTAATTCAATTCACACCACTACAGTGCATGTAGATGAGGCCACTATACTTGTAGTGAAACACGATCGAATAAAACGAAATAAATACGGAATAAAATGAACGGGAAAGAAATTAAAAATAAACTAAATAAAACTTCAATACATTAGTTGAGAATAGGATAAATAAACTAAATTAATTAAAATTAAATAAACAAAAACCACCTTAGAATAAAATAAACTAAAATATTGAGCAGGGGTTGGTGTGGAGTGTGACTGTGGCTGTGGATGGTGTGGGTGGCGAATGTGGGTGTTGGTGGCGAGTGTGGGTGTGGGTGGGGTGTGAGGCTAAAGATCAGACAGATATCTACACCCACACCCTATACCCACCCACGGATCCCCCACCCACACCTGCACACCCATCCACACACCTACACCTCATACCCACCCACACCCACACCCTAATTCTATGGATACAGTTTAAATGGATTACACGATTTGCTGCCGTCGGATTTACTGCCGTTTTTAACTGTTGTTTATGTTATAGTTGAGATTTAAATTTATTTAAGATTAAAACACATTAGTTTTATTTGTGTACAAATTGATATTAAAGTATGAACAATATTCCATTAGTTTATTATGCACTTCATGTGTATTCTTAGTTTGATAACAAATATTTAATATTTATATTTTTTCATGCTCGAGACACGGAAACATTAAATGACTGGCTAAATTTCAATCTTTAGTAAATTTGTTTTCTATGTTTTTTTATAATTATCGGGACATGGGAACATTAAATCATTGACTAAATTTTAATTACTAGCAAATTCGTTTTCTATACTTATTTTATTATTTCAAATTTTTTATGCTCGGGACATGGGGACATAGAATGATTGGCTGAAATTTAGTTGCTAGCAAATTCGTTTTCTATGTTTTCTTTTATAATCATCGGGACATGCCGATATTAAATCATTGGCTAAATTTCAGTTACTAGCAAATTCGCTTTCTATACTTATTTTATTATTTAAAATTTTTTTATGCTCGGGACATGGTGGACATTCAATGATTGGCTAAATTTTTATTGCTAGCAAATTCGTTTTCTATGTTTTTTTTTATAATCATCAGGACATGGAGAAATTGAGTGATTGGCTAAAATTTAATTGCTAGTAAATTTATTTTCTATGCTTATTTATTATTTATGTATTTTTATGATCGGGACGTGGAAACATTGAATTCTAGAATAAATTTAGGTTGCTAATAAATTTGTTTCGTATGTTGATTGATTATTTTTGTGTTGCCTGAATAATGGAGAGTTTCGAGGTAGAAAGATTTGTGACATGTTAACGAGTAATAGTAGCTTTCTAACCGATTCATCTGATATATCATTTGTTTATTTTGCTGAGTAGAGATAGAGTTTTATAAAGAATGTTGTTGGAGAGTCTATATGCGACAATAGTGGTTATATTGATGCAAAGTGCATGTTTAGTGCCATAGTTTTACGAATTTCTGAAATTTAGGTAAATAACTGTTTTTTGGAATTGTTTAAATAAGTAATGTGGCATTTGGACATTTTTTTGAGAGACGTATAAGAGATAGCATGGATGAAATTCAGTCGCATTATGAGTATTCTGAGAGGAATAACTGGTTCGTTAGGGCAATAGGCACGTCTATAGAAAGAGTTATGAGCTTCTATTTTTGTCTCATAAGCAGGAAATTATGAGAGCTAATGTTTTTTTTTAATACAAAATGTCACAATATATTTGTTATCATTGTCTAGAAAATGCATATTGTCTGGGGATTATTCAACGTGTAAATAAATGCTTTAATCTAGACAGCTTGAAATTTCAGCAGAGAGTCTATCGTTTATTTATGATCCTTTGATAATAGCTATTATATGTTTTTGCCGTTCTATATATTGAACTTTCTTTAGCTTAAGATCTACGGTGAAGTGTGTGAGTCTCGGTTGGGTATACGATACCATTTACTTGTCTTACATGTGGTGATATTCATACATTTGGTTAGTTGGACTGTTACTTATTGATATTGTGAAATAGATTGAAATAAAACAATTTTCTATGACACAATACACAAAAGTTGCTATTGTTGAAATAAATTAGAAATTACATTAAAAGAGCATATCTATTCTACAGGGTAACCCTACTCTAATCTGCTGTCCAGATCGAGAAGAGTGCAAGATGGTAGATTTTTATTTTGACAGTTTTCGGTAATGGAACAGGTTAGGAAAGGACAGAATCCAAGATAGAGCACAAAAACTCACCCTATGGACATCACTCAAATGAAATATATTGATAACTGGTCGTCATATAACTGACATTGAATAGTTGTGATAGTCTGATGCTTTTGCATATAAGTATTATATGTCAGTATGAGAATGTGCACTATGATTACCAAGTCAAAACAGTACAATGAATAATATAAAAATGATTGAATAATGACAGCATATGTATGAAAAAGCGATTTACATATGCTTCAAAATTCGTGTAACATTTTAAAAACTTCAGATTTTAATGAATGAGAGTGTATTTTTTGTCTATTGTTTTTTTGTTGTCTCGTTGTGGTTTAATGATTTTACTTGAGAAATTTATCGGTTTATTTTTTTTGATAATTATAAGTCACGAGTATTTCATTATGTTCAATGTTAGAAGTCGTCGGTTCTGAATAATAATTTCTTCCATTTTTAAATAGATAAACTATTTCGAATGAATGTGTGACTAGACAGCTTGCAAATGTAGGTATTTAATACGTTATGTTACTACAAAAAGTAACCAGATGACTTATTCTATTATTTATTTTTTTAAATTTGAAAATGATCTTAAGTTTCTATTTTATCTAAGTCAGATTTTATATAATTTTGATCAAAGGCGAGGAGCTGCTTGTGTAGTCCAAGACTCATTATATCGTTTATGAGATAAATTAGAAAAAAAACAGATTGATGTTTTAAAAATTTTTTAAAAGGTGCTCGTCTGAATCACTTTCAATATTTAAAAGTTAAATAATGCTAGTATTTGACTATGTATTCTCAATTTTTCAGTTGACTTTTGTTCTCTTCAGATACTCTATAAGAAAATAGTTAAAATAATACGATTCCAATATTAAAAAATATGAAATCCTCTCATAAAAACAGTTCCATTTAAATGTCAAAATCGATGATACTGAATTGGGGTGAAGTATAAAATACGATTTTAATATATCTATCATAGCTGTAAACGCATAGGTATCTGTCACATAAGTCTTTTTTACAGCAGTAAATCTGACGGC